TTCGCCAGGGGCGAGCACTACAGGTATTGTCCGCATTGCGGGTACACGAGAACCACCTGATCAGAAAAAAAACGACATTTATTATGAAAAGATTTATTCGATCTGCACAGTAAATCTCGTAGCGTCTTTATGATCGCCATGGAGCAGCGATGTCTTTTGGAACTCCACACGAACCAGTAACATCGGTCTCAGTAATCTTAACTGTAATGCGCACAACGACTTTTCCTAGCATAAGATGCACACACACATTTACATATACTCAAAGTTGTTTTTTTTTCTAAATATCTGGTTTATTGTCTTTATTTTTTTGTTTATCTGATGATTTTTTTTTATTTTCTTTTTAGAATTAAATCTAGATAAAAATAAAACAAAGATCAAGATGAAAAATAGCGCACTTTCTTATTGGCTTTTTATTCTGCATTCTAAATAAATCTATACTAAAGTCAATCAATATTGATCAAGATATCAGTTTCATAGTGGATCGTGCCCCCCGAGAAAGAAAGCGACACAACACCTACGATGACAGAAGAAAGTAAATTGGATTTGGCATGGCTGCCTCAAGGCACGAAAGCTTTAGCAGATGGGGAGTACGATGTGATCGTACTAGGTACGGGACTTAAGGAGTGCATTTTAAGTGGTTTGCTCGCGGTAAATGGGAATAAGGTTCTGGTGGTGGATCGAAACCCGTATTATGGTGGTGAGTGTGCGTCTCCCAACTTAACGAACCTATACAAAAAGTTCAAACCCGACCAAAAGCCACGCACAGACCTGGGCGCCGATCGCGACTACAATGTGGACCTTGTGCCCAAGTTCATTATGGCTTGCGGCAAGCTTGTAAAGATGCTACTACACACGAAAGTTACACGTTATCTCGAGTTTAAGAACGTTGACGGCAGTTACGTTGTCAAGGCGGGACGCACCTACAAGGTTCCTGCCACGGGTGAAGAGGCTCTGCGCTCATCTCTTATGGGCATGTTTGAAAAGCGCAAGTTTCGAAAGCTCATCATGTACATTTACAACTATGAGGAGGAAGACTCGAATACGTACGAGGGCATGGACCTGTTCAAGCAACCAATGAGCGACCTTTTCGAGAAGTATGGTGTGGACGCTAATACGCAAAGCTTTATGGGTCATGCTATGGCTCTCATGCGCGACGAGTCTTACCACAATCGTCCCGCCATTGAGACGGTGCGTGCAATCAAATTGTACGCTTATTCACTTGAGCGCTATGGCAAATCTCCGTACATCTACCCATTGTACGGTTTGGGCGGTCTGCCTGAGAGTTTCTCGCGTCTCTGTGCCATAAATGGTGGCACGTTTATGTTGAACCGCGCGGTGAACGAAATCATGGTCGACGAGGACGGCAAAGCTTGGGGAATTAAGTGTGACAACGAAGTAGCCAGAGCCAAGCTGATCATTGGTGATCCATCTTACTTCCCGAAGTCAAAGGTGCGTAAAACTGGCGTAGCTGTTCGTTCCATTTTCATCCTAAATCACCCGATTCCCAACTCGAACGACGCAGAGTCGCTGCAGATCATTATTCCTGCAGCCCAAGCGAACCGCGCGAACGATATCTATATCGCTGTGGTATCTTCTGCCCATTGCGTTGCGCCGCAGGGTATATACATTGCAATCGTTAGTACGCTCGCAGAGACATCGGTACCTTTACAGGAGCTGGACCCTGGAGTGAAGCTGTTAGGCCCATATCTGGAACGTTTCGATGCTGTCACAGACATGTTTGAACCTGTGGGGAAAGGCGAGAAAGATAATTGCTTCATCAGCTCTTCTTACGATCCAACCAGCCACTTTGAGACAACGTCGGAGGATGTGTTGGATCTGTACAAGCGCATTACAGGTGAGGAGCTCGACATGAACATTAATGCAGACTCGACCGACGTGGATCAGTAATGATAAGCGTCGAAGCACAGCAAGCAGCGTAAGAAGCAGATTAAACAGCACAGTAAGCAGACTAAGCAGCACAGCATAGTGAGCGCATATAACAATGGAAGCGGGAGCTGTGCCGTCAAAATTTAGGTTGCAGAAGCTCAAAGTTGATTGATCTGATAATCACTTAAGGTTTCACCATTTGAAACTTATGATAGATGAAAAACCTTGCATTGATTAGTCGTAAAATATGTAGCCTTCTGCAGTTATACCTGCTCATTTTTTTCATTTTGAGCTGAGGAAACCAATCGCAGTCCCAACCCTTCAGTTAAGCGGGAAATTAGTGTTGATGGACTCGAGTTACATGGCAGATAGTGATCGCGTGGTAAATCATCTTGCCAATATGGCGGCGCTATCAGGAAAAGAAAAAAATTGGTCGATTTGCTCTTCAGGTACACAGAGACCTTTTGACTCGCTAACGACCAGCGCGTCGCACGCCAGCGCTGTACCGCGTCCAAGCGAACGATTTGTCAAAGTGTTTGATGAATTTCTAACTGACAATCAGACGGAATGTAGCGACCGTAGCAGCGAGCTGAGTTCTGAATCAGTCGAGCCAAGGTTACTTGCCATGAGTCTTTTATCGCCGCATCTCAAGTTGACAAATCATTCACCGATTCAAAACTTCAATAGACCAGAAAAAACGGCTGAGGAGGACACGTACTCCCCTGTGATAGCCTCTGTCGAGTTTCTGATGAGTCGAGTTCCTGAGGATGAAGAGAAAGAGCTTGATGTTAAGTCGGACAGAGACAAGGCGCATTTTTACAAGAAGGTAGGAATATAAGATAAGTGTTTTGTGAATAGCTGATGGTCCAACATTGGTATACAGAGGTATACAGACACGTACGAGCACGCGGTAGCGCTTTTGAAGCACGCAGCATCGCTGGAGCGCGAACGAAACGAAAAACAGACTGATCTCGAGTATTTGAGGTCCACCATTGGGACTCAAACGCAGATAATTAATACTTTGGGAGATAGCAAGGTACGTAGTTGACAACTTGGAGATAATGATGAGTGCACATGGGCTTAATGTTGCTGCAGCACCTGAATGAGCCCGCAGATTTTCAGCAGGAGAAAAGGATTCAGGCGCTATGCCGTGAAGTCACCGGACTGGTGATGCAGCTGAATGAGCGTGATACTCTCATTCATAGTTTGCACGAAGAACGTGATCGGTCAGCAAAAGTCAGCAACGAGTTCAAGATGTCGCAAGGTCTCACCTCTAGCGACGTGAGTGAAAACGTGCGATCTAATTGCAAACTCACTCGCGTGGAGCTGGAGCTGGAGGCTGCCCGATTTGAAAAGCGGGAAGCACTTGAGCGTGAATCAAAGGCGTCTTTTCAATTAAACGAAATGAAGAAGCTTTACGAGAAATGTGAGGCTGCGCGGTCAGCACTGTCCGACGGACTTGATCGAGCCCAAGAGCAAACGACTGCGCTACATGCTCAGTGGGTGAGGGAAAAGAAAGAAATTCTGTCTTCAGCCAAAAACGAGTGCGAGCGACTTCGCGAGGAAATCGAGACTCTGAAGAATTCTCTTTTTCAGGTTTCAGAGGATGAGAAGAAAGCTCTTTTGACGATCGAATTTCAACAGCAGGCAGCCAGCAAATCTCAGACACAAGTTGCGCGACTCGAAAGTGAATTGGAGATATCGCGACGGCAATTAAGTGTGCTTCGTGACAAGAAGGCAAGAATATGGACGGTTGAAAATGAATTGTCTGAAGAAAGAAAGAAGCTTCGACGCTGCTTACTGCATGTGGGTGAGCTCGACGAGAAGTTGAAGGAGAAAGAAGTTGAGCTGCAAGCCGCGAATGCGTTATTTCGAATGCGTGCTGATTTATTGGAGCGACGAGTTAATGATGCCGAAGCAGTTCGAAGAACCCTTCATAATAAGGTGAGTAGATTTTAGCCTAAGAAAGTAAGTGCTGCATCTGGGCAACTAACAGGAATCACGCAGGTGATGGAGTTGAAAGGCAACATTCGCGTTTTCTGTCGCGTCCGTCCTGTTCTGCTGCACGAAGTTGCCAGTGCGAGGGAGGAAGAGGTGCATACTGCTATAGTTGTGGCCGAACTGAAGTAATATTCTGAATCACCGTTGCAGATTTTTGCATTTCCTGATTATTGCAGGGAGCGACGGCAGATCGAACTTAGCGCAAATCCAAAGTCCCACATTGGTTATGGCCAGAATGGATCAAGAAGTGTCGTTAAAAAATACAATTTCGATTTCGATTTGGTATTCGGCAGTAGCTGCACGCAAGAAGATGTCTTTTTGGAAGTATCTGCGCTGATCCAGTCTGCATTAGATGGATTTAAAGTGTGCATTTTTGCCTACGGACAAACTGGGTAGGTATTATGTTTATGTATGGAAAAATTGCGTGCATGACTGTTTCGTGGCTTGTAGATCCGGTAAAACTTTTACTATGCAAGGCAAAGAAGATATGCATGACATTCAGATCGTGGAAGTATCACCAGACATGGGGATCGTTGGTCGGGCGATTTCTTATATATTTGCTGGCATGAATGACTTACGGACGAGCGGGTGGGAGTTTACTGCCAGCCTCCAATCGGTTGAGATTTACAACGAAACACTTCGTGACTTACTTGCACCCATTGAGGTAGGTCAGCCCCGTGCATTCATGTTACAATGCTGATACTCTTTTTTGTTTCAATCCAAGTAGTCCACTGATAAGATTGATCTTCGCCTAGACAGCGAGGGAAATTTTGACGTCGTAAATTCATTCATTCAAAGAGTGAAAAATGCCCAGGAGGCATGGAACTCAATTCAGGGAGCGATGTCTAGGAGGTCTACTAAATTCACAAAAATGAACGACCGATCTTCACGCAGCCACTGCGTCATCACGATCAGGTACGCGCCACTTCGAAAATGTATTTCTTTGGTGACATCTTCGCTGACATAATAGTGTTTGGGTAGACTAAACGGCGTGAGCCATTTGACTGGAAAAGAACGGACCGGTGTCATTAATCTCGTAGATTTGGCGGTATGATAACATTGGCATTATTCAGTAAAACTCTGCTGTTTCTGAACGTGCATGAGTTGCAGGGATCCGAACGCCTACCGAAGTCGGGAAGTGATAGTAGTAAAGAGCTCATGAAAGAGGCAACTTCAATTAATAAAAGTCTTTCGGCTTTGGGCAACGTAATTTGTGCTCTCGCGAAAAAGGTGCGTTGCCCCATCCTCTTGCTTTGCGCTTCGGTCGCTAAGAAGTTTTATGTTTTTATGCAGTCGACACACGTTCCATTTCGCGACTCAAAACTTACACACTTTCTCAGTGCCTCACTTGGTGGAGACAGCAAGACGCTTATGATTTGCAATCTTTCACCGCTGGGGAAACACCGTGACGAGACGCTGAATTCACTTCGTTTCGCTAAAATGGTAAATTCTTGCGAGATTGTTTTTCCCTCAACGATATCCAACCGATCGTAAGCCATTGCGGGATTTAGTGCATGTTGTTTATAAAAGAGTAGACCGTATTGGCGCCGGGCGCCGATCAGTTTGACCTCTACTACTTCGTCTGTCTCTGAGCTCACCAATGATTAGTACTATCAGATTGTGTCAGTATCGACATTATCACTACTTCTCACGAAAATATTTTCAGTAACTATAAATTCTTAATTTCGTTAACAGTTTTTCTCCAAAACATGGACTTCTTCAATGATCTAGTTAGCCGTTGTAGGTGGGTCCATGACTAGGGGGTTAAAAAATGATTTAAGTAAACGTGTGTATTTGGCTACACTTAGCCATTACATGAATTTATGTACGGAAACGAGACCGACGTGTCTCTGTATTTAAAGGTGGGTGGCGTAAGCCAGTCAACGCAGCCGTCAGTTTCATGTATCATGAGATTATGGAATCGCGGAAGCAGCTTACAACCCCGATTTCTTCGTTCAGAACGGTGTCTTTGAAGCTATACGTCTCTTTGTACCGCGGTGAAGAGAACGAGCCTCTCTCACGATGGTTTGTCGTATCCACAACATCCACAGCACTCTTCCCGGGCCCAGTAGGGAGCCCGCCCCTACTAGTCGTTCCAGTTTTTCTACCCTTGGGAGCGTTCGAGCCGACCACCTTTTATAGCGTCCGCAGTTATCCGAACGAGCACCCTGTGTCTGTCGCCGACGCGGCAAAGACACTCTGCAGTTTTGGGTGATATGACCCGGCTTTCTACGACGAAAACACTTTCCATCGTTGCGTGAACGCGCGTGGAACGTGTACGAGATGTCCATTGGCTCTAGACCATCACTTGTGCCGGTAGAGTGGCGTGCTTGCCGTAGTACGAAACCGTCGGACTTTGTTTGCTTGATGCTGAACACTTCGTGCATCGCTCGGTTGATGGTATCGTCCAGCGTCTTGAAATTTTCGCGGAACTGTTGATTCCGGATTGGACAATCACTAAAGCCTGCCATGAACGTAACAACCTGAGTTAAAATCGATACCAAGTAGCGAGCACGCTGTGCATACGCATGTGGGCTGTAACTGTAACGGGGTCACACATACCCTGGTAACAGGTGTGTGTGTCACACCAGATGGGCATGGTGTGATCACACCCAAACAAGAATACGGTACGGGGCTGGATAAACAGTAGTCATACATGTATTTAGATTTTACTACACATATTTAGAAAAATCTATGCATTACAAATTAGGCGGCTTTGCCGCAGATAATAACA